TGGACTCTAAAAATGCCAACTTTGTCTTTTTCTGCTCGGCCTCCAGTACCCCCTCACGCCAACTGCAGTGGGGTGCAGTATCGGCCTACCGGCCTCTTGATATAGAGTGTTTTTTCGCTACCCCAAGGGCCGCGGGGCCGCTAGCTTCCCCGCTTGAGTGTTTTTCCCTGCTACAGCCCTCAATGCCACGGCCACAGGTAAGTACCGGCCCTACGGGCCTGCCAAACAAGCAAGTACCCTTGCGGGTCACACACACACTCATACCGCTGTCTCTTATACACATCTAGATGTGTATAAGAGACAGGCGTCAAAGGTAGTGCGCACACCTTTGACTGCATGCGTAGATGTGACAACGTCTTGGTTGCCCACTTGGGTCTGGCAAGGATTCTGCAGAGTTACTTGCTTCATCCCCAAGCGTGCCTTACGAATACCGTGCGGTGAGAAGTAGCTGGCGGTTGCGCCACAATCAGCCAACGCACGGATGTAACTGTCTCTTATACACATCTAGATGTGTATGAGAGAAACGTCCTGCTCCAATGCAAATTCTTCCGCGGAAACCCAGACCAGGTCGCCGGCGCGGATGGGACATGGTACTCGATGCCTGTTGGCCTGCTGCTGCATGCGGACTTGAGCCTTCTGCATATTTGCTCGGGCTTGAGCCAGCAATTCCCTGTACTTCCTGACGGAAGCGGGAGAGCAAGCCGCATCAATGTCGGCTGGTCGTGGGAGGAGAAGATCGGCGAAGATACGGCCTTTCCGTCCACCGTGGTGCAACTCGAAAGGAGTTACGCCAATCGCCGGGTGCATGCATGACTGCGCACATGTGTGTGATTGTTTGTGCATATGAGTGCACTTATTGCCCTAGAAAATGACAAGTTGTGCAATGTCCACTTACATCTGTGTTTTCGTGCAAATTGCCTGCTTTCACTGTCAGCCGTGGATTTCAGTCAGACTGTCGAGGTCCAACCTCCTGATGAGTTGGTGGAAGTCCGACGAAACAGCCTGTTACAGTGGTAACCCCCCCCTGTTGTGTGGGGTAAGAACCGTTCAAATCCAAGTGTCAGAGATTAGATGGTGTGTATATGTTACGATCCTGGCCAATTTCGAAGTATACATTCATCTGAAAGTACAATGCCATCCAATTGCAAAAAGAAATGAATGAACTTGAGAGGAAAG